CTTACAGAGATAGAAGCTGGTAACCTTCTCTGGGAATATAAAGGAAAGGTCAATGGTGGTTTCCAGCGGTGTCACTCAACTTAAGTCCCACCCCTGAAGGTTAGAATAAGTACACCCAAGTGGGACAGGGCCCTCACGGACAGGCCACCTCCCTTGTCAATTAATGGTTTGAGAAGAGAGTTAGTATGGGACATTTGCTTTTAAGGCAGTGTGAAACATGTCTTATCTTGTCTGTATTTTTCTGTCCAGATTTGTCAACCATTAATCCTGTAGGGTTATGCTGCACATGGACCCAATTTGGTTTTTCTCCTCTTTGGACTCAAAAAATTATGCATTTTTGTGGGCTATGGTTTTTGTGTCTTTACTGTCAAGGAATCCAAAACCAGTTGGCTTGCAGTTAATTCCTGACCTCTGGAACTTCTTATGCCTCAACCTGTGTGTACAGAAATCCCAGAAGTGGAAACTTTGGACCTTGGAATCCCTACATGTGGGGAAGTACTCTGGACTTGGTAAGGACTTGGTTTGGACCCTTGCTAACCAGAGATCTAGACTCACAATACCAAGAAAGGTATCCAAATGACAGGATTGATTTTGGCCTCTGTGAAGTTGTGCTCTTCTAGAATCCCTTTCCTTCTCATGAATAGATCCTTCCCTTTCAGAAGAGTAGTTAAGATTACTCAGATCCTAAGGTCAAGAAGGAATGTTTGGGTAATTCATATCTGTTGCTAGGATCAACTCCCTCACTACAGGTGTATTTGGAACTGGATCTAATCCTCCCCTTGTCTGAGGAGCAACGGTAATCAGTTCTGGTCCCTTTCCTTGGTGTGCAATATCAAACGAATTTGTCCCTACATTGATGTGGAACTACTTCAAAATCTTACAATAAAATGCCATCAGTTATATGTTTTCTGAAAACTGTACCCATTAAGGTTATGCTTTGGGATGTGCTGTAATAAAAGATTCTCATGGATTTGAAATCTCCTGCATCACAGTGCTAGGACCAGGGCTCCAACAAGCTAAAGCTGATGCCAGATTCAGTACGTGCAAATAAAGTACAGATCTTCTCCATGAACTCTTCACAGCACATAATCAGCTTATGGAATTCACTGCCACAAGATGTGATATGTGGCACCAGTTTAGACTGTTTTAAAGGGAGATGGTACAAATTCTTGAAGTAAAGGATTATCAACAGGTATTAGCTATGATAACTAAATGGAACCTCCATTCTCAGAAGCAGAAAATTCTTGACAGAGAAAATATTTTTATCTGACAGAATGTATTACTATTATGTTTATTTTATTTCTGTACCGACAAACAAAACTTTCTGGGTGGTTTCTAATAATTCATAAAATATAGTAAATAGATTATAATTAAAAACATTCTAAAATCAACTTTAGAAACCAAATTTACTATAGAATTCACTATTACAAGATAGAATGATGGACACCGATTTGGATGTGCTTAAAAGGGGATCAGACAAATACATGTAGAAAATGATGAGGTTATCAATGCCTTCTGGTCCTTATTGCTATGTACCACCTCCAGAATTAAAGGCTGTGTCAGTTGCTGGGGACCATAGCTGCAAATGTTCTGCACTACTCATGTCTTGCTTGTGGGATTCCCACCAACATCTGGTTTGCCACTGTGTAAACAGAATGCTCAACTAAGTGGACACTTAGTCTAATCCAGCATGACTCTTCTTATGCTCTTATTAGCCATGCTAGCTGGGGTTAACAGGAAGTGGAAGCCAACAAATCTAGAAGGGCATAGGTTCCCTAACTGCAAGCAGTATCAGATGTAAGATGTTGCTGATTGACTGCAGAGTGGCACTAGAATATCATGGGGGGGGAGTGGTTTGTTTGTTTTTCAAAGGATGCTTCCATACATAGGGCAAGAAAGCTACTATGAAGGTTTGCTCACAGAGTCCTAAAATTAGGCTATTTCTTAGATAAACAGGCTATTTCTTAATTAAAAATGCAAATACCATACAACTAGGTTTTTACACTTATGCTGGATTTTAAAAAAACTTGCCAAGATAGGCTTGCTGTTTTGCCTTTACCACTCAGTTGGTTCCCACATACAAACATCTGCTATATATAGCTTCCCATTTCTGCAAATAGGCCAAGATAATGCTTCTGCTGATTCCAAACTTTTCAGCTTGGCCAAGGTATCTAGGGAGTTCTCCGATCAGGACCAGGCCTTTCCTCCTTGCTGGCTTTCCCTTTTGACATGTTCTCCTGTTTCAGTCAACTGAAACTATCAGCAACAACTTTCAAGTCAGATAATTATAATCATAACCCCTCTCTCCCACTTTACCACAGTGAGTTTCACATGCTATTTATCTTATCTCCTCAGCTACTCTTTTCCTATCTGACCTTGAATTCTGAATCTACTTTTCTCCCACAGTCCTGCTTGCTTAATGTGGAATGTAAGCCCTCAATACCAGATCTGTCTTGCTGCATTCTTTTTTCTTTCCCCACACAGTGTCTACTGCATTCGTATTAAATAAATCCTGGATGATAGCAATACAATATAGTCACGTAAAAGGTAGAAAGGCAGTTTAAAAAAAATGAAAAAAAAATCAACTAACCATCAGTTATTTTTAGCAAACCACATTTTAGTTCTATCAGCTTTCTTGGAAACAAAAGCTTCTCAGAAGTCTTTTTGCTGGATTGTCTCAAGCTTACTACAGTAAATATAACCTTTACTGCTTTAATAATTATTAAATCTTTACTTTAAAAATGGTGTTAGAAAGGAAGATAATAATGCAACACTGCACTAACTGGGTTTAAGTCCATAGATTACAAAAGGTGCACTTACTGCTGTGTTGGACTGCAGCCAGTAAGTTTACATTCTTGATTTCTAACTATACTTAAATAATAAAAACAAAATAGAAAGACAATGTTGAACCAAGGTATTAAAAACAGATTAAAAAAGACACACATCACCCAACATTTGAAAAAAATATGCAGCTTTAAAAATGTACAAAGAAATTATCAAGGCTAAGTTCAGGCTTTGGTTAAGAGTGTGGGACTGGGACTCGGACAATCTGGGTTCTATTCCTATTTGGCCATGGAGCCAATTGGGTGACTTCAAGCCAGTCACAGACTGTCCGCCCAACCTACCTCACAGGGTTGTTGGTGTGGGGATGAAATAAAGAGTGGAGGAGGACAATGATGTAAGTAGCTTTGAGTTTGCTATAAGAAAAAAGAAGGATACATATCTAATAAATAAATATTTGGGTGATTGTTACTGTTTCTTGTCTGACTCGATGGCTGAGCTGTTTGCGTTCCTTACTACTAATAATTATACTATTACAACTAGTATTTTTACATTACACCTTTTGTAATTTTATCTTATTGTCAATATCATTTGTGAACACTTTCAAGTTGTATATTTGATTCTCTTCGGCTTTCCATCTCTAAGGGAGATCTATTTCTATGGAACACAATGGACTTTAGCTAACTGTATCTGCTTATGGAGATGCACCAATTACCCTCCAAGTGCAGCCCAGAAGGAAGCATGAGGAGGAAACTTTGGCAAAAAGACCTCCTGACAGTCTCCGGTGGTGGTGAACCTATGGCACGCATGCCGCAGTGGGCATGCAGAGCGCCCTGGAGGCACGCGAGCCAAGTCACACCAGCTTCGCCCCAGCAACCAAGCATTGCGTAACAACGCACAGAGGAGCCATGTGCATGCTCGGAAAGGAGCAGCAGTGCCAGGTGATGACATCACAAGCTGCAACTCATTAGCTGTGACTTATCCGAGCTTTCGCATAGTCAGTCAGTGTGCTGCCAAGGATATATACTATATATTTGCTTGGCCTGGCTGTGATTTGTTTTTCTAAATTAAAACCTCAGTATTCAGGTTTTATTGCACTTTGTGATAAATAAGTGGGTTTTGGGTTGCAGTTTGGGCACTTGGTCTTTAAAGGTTCGCCATCAATGGTCTAGACTCTAGACCGATCACAATCAATTCTGTCAATGCTGCTCCTCCTAAAAAACTAACTGCTAACAATTACTATTGTTATCCTCCTTAGAAAATGAATGGTACCCATTTCATTTAATTTTTACTTAGTGGTAAATCTGCTTCTGACAGTGCAGTCCTATGCCAACTTGATCCTTTTGAGTTCAATGGCGCTTAGTGCTGACTAAATGGTCATCCATTTGTAACCTAAGTGTACAAAGTCAGAATAACAGTATAAATGTTCTCTCAAGTAAAAAGATTTCTAGCTCTAGAAAACTAACAAGTTAGGATAAAGGCTAGCCACCTCAATAAGAACTATTATTTCTACTATTAATACTACTTTTCTTAGTATTTCTTAGATATCTTTTTCAAATGTGAATCAAGGCAACTTACAAAGTTAAAACATACAACATTTAAAACAGCTAAAAAAATCAACTAAAATACAAACAATAAACAACAGTATCAGTGATAACCATAAAGCATTCAACTGATACATTCCATAATATCAGCTAAGTTGGAGAAGACTGTAAGATTCAATGTCTCTTGAAAAATACCTGTAATTAAGTTATAAAATTATGGCACTCTGTACCAACTATATAAAATTTAGCATACTCAGTGAACTCTACAAGCTTTCCAAAGTTCAGACAAACCCAATAAGAAATGTCTGAGATACACACCCATTTTAAGAAATATTCTGAAGCACAGCTCCCACTTGCTTACTCCCTGTTTCGTGCAGTATAAATTTACCTTCATTTACTGTTTTTTCCTAGTTTCCGTTCTCTCAAAGCCAGCTTGAGTGCTATTTGCTTGGTAGAAAGGCAGGGTACAAAGAAATAATAAATCATATTAGGATCTCTGTGGTGCTTTAGTATAAATCTAGTATTTGTTCATAAAGTTATAAAATATTTCAAGCCTATTTTAAATTATTAATTGAACTGAGGGCAACTATGGAAATAATAGCTCACTCCAGAGTTTAGCATCTTCCTAAAGGAAAATGGAGAGTCAAGGATGGCACCGTGGTGTAAACCGCTGAGCTGCTGGGTTGTTAGTCGAAAGCTCAGCAGTTCGAATCCACATAATGGGGTGTGCTACCGTTACTTTGTCCAAGCTCCTGCCAGCCTAGCAGTTCGAAAGCATGAAAATGCAAGTTGATAAATTGGTACCACTTTGGTGGGAAGGTAACAGTGTTCTATGCGCCTTGGCATTTAGTCATGCCAGCCACATGACCATGGAAACTGTCTGCAGACAAATGCTGGCTCCCTTGGGGGAACTGTGTCTTGTCTGCCACTGGGTTTAAATGCCTTTACAAGGCTTTATGACCAGGGCAGGTTCCACGTGAAAGGATACTGATGACTACATACAGGTTTGAACCTAGTTTACATCAGATGCCAAGATTTTACATATAGATATCATTTGCTATGTAAGAAATTATCAGTCTAACAACCAAATAGTTTGCTATTGTGGTTAACATCTACATTTTATTGAAAGGTATAGAAATATTTTTATTCTCATAAATAAAATTATTTATTTATTCTCATATATGTCATAAGAATATGTCATATTCTTATGACATATGAAAACTAGCAATGGTTATTTGTCAAAAATCAGGCAGAAGCTAAACATATAGCTGAACTTGAGCCTGTTCATACATAATGATGGCACTCATTAAATACCAATTACATATGAGCCAAGTCTGTGTCTCAATCTGCACTTCCTTCAGTGCGCTGCTTGACCTACCTCTTTAAGCATTACAAAGCCATACTAATGTTAAATACTTCTGTTTTCTGCTTCTATGAGAACAAACGTGCCATTCCGCGAACATTACATCCCAATGTCCCTTTCAAGAACAAAAGGTTTAAAAAAGATTAAGAGGAAAGTTAAGGAGCTCAGAAAATCATTTCTAACCCAAAATGGTAAGTCAAGACTTTCATCTTAACTTCAATGGTATATAAGCAATAAACAAGTACTATGGTCTCACAAACTGTGCTTGCTTTATACACATGTTCCCTTAGGGTATAATCCTGTGCATGTTTAGACAGAAAGAAGTCCATTGCAGGTAATAGCTAGGTAATGCTAGGGCATGTAGGACTATTAAAACATGCACAGAATTGCAACCTTAGCCTTTCATCCCAGCCCACTTTCTCTTTAGGTTGGAGAAACAACTGAAGCTCAGAAGACTGAGGACACTGACTTCCTTGTGGCATGCTGACCCTTTACTTTCTTCATAAGGGGCAGAAGGACCAAGGGGAAGTACAGATACATAGAACCGTAAGTTGTAAGGGAACACAATATGCAGGATCACAAATTGTGTCCACTGCTTACATGGCACAGAAGTTCAGATGGACAGTTTGATGTACAGTTACCATGCAGCTGACTGTATCGTTTGATATGCTCTCAGGTCTCCAATTTTCAGTGGTTCAGAATACACTGAGACTGCAAACATATTTTCCTGAAAACTATAAAAGCTGCACTAACAGAATTGGTTGTTGTGTGCCACTCACACAAAGATGGGGCTCCAGTGCAGATCCTCTCCTTGTCATCAAGGAAGGGTCTCAGCCAGGGACAATGCATCCACTACATCACTGTTTACAGAGTAGCCAACCTGAATACAAGGAACAATACTACCTGGAGTTTAAAAGAACTCTGTATGGTTATGGCTCTCTAAAAGGGCTGACGTTAATTTGTCAAAGAAAAGAAAGCAGCTTTCCCCTGCTGAATCATTGAGGCTGTTCACACATAACACTAAGCAATACCATGAAGTATTCTTTCTTACCTTGTGTATGCATTTGTGAGGTAATTATTCATAAGTAGTTTCCATGCACCACCATCCTCCCTCCAAATGGTGGCCTGTATCCCTTCAGCCCCATGGCTGGGAATCAATCCCACTATGTACCACTCCTCCTGCACATGTACCACTCCTGCCTGCTTCTCCCCTGTTGGCCTATATGCTCTCTTGGGCATGTTCTCAGGTGGCTGATTCTTCTTCTCCCCCCCTCCCCCCCCCCGCTGCTCTGCCTAGCAACTGCCTACTCGCTAGAGTAGCACTGTTGCTCTAGAGGAACTTTCCTTGTATGTGCTCTGCACACACTCACCTCTACCCCTCCCTTGCTCCAAATGTGTCTGCTCCACACACACCCTCGTGCAAGACCTCATCCTGCATCCAGATGCACAGAGGGCATCTGTGCAGACACCCATGCCAAGTGTGGAAGAAGCATGTCCTGCAGGAATGGCTTCCCATGGAAGCACATGTGGCATCTGGCTGAGAAAGTGTTCAGGCTGTCTGCAAGGAATATGTCAGTCACACAGCTGTGGTGTGGGCAGGGGCAGCAGGGTTTATTGCAAGTCCTTAGGAATACCAGGGACAAGATAGGAATGGTGGGGAAGGCAGGAGAGAGAGGGAAACCTGCATTTCTCAGAGTGATTGCCCTGATGGCTATGTCCACACACAGCCAGTGTGCTTCTCTTATGTAAAGCTGCCTTCAAAGAGCAGGGTGCTGGCTGCCCAGGTAGAACATGCATACAGCTATTTCAGAGCGCTGCTCCAGCAGAAGTGAACAGGGACATCAAGCATACCTGTTCTCCACAGTCACTGCTGCTGCAGAATGCCATTATGTTCCAGAGCTGCAGAGAGGCATTGGCAAGGCAGTGCACATAGAAACAGAGGAAAATATCTCAAGGCAGCCAATCAGAGCGCAGCCCCAGCTGCCTCAGCAGTTACTAGGCAAAACATGACAGCAAAAAAGGAAGGCTTCAGCATCTGCTGCTGCCATGGCCACCCTTGCTGTCAAAAGCAATGGCAGAAAAGGGGAAACTGTAGAAAAACCTTGTAACTGAATTCACACAGTTACATAACAACAACAAGCAATGGTGAAATGTGGAAAGCTTAGAATGCACCGTTCCATGGGCATTCAAGGTAACCAAACTTGCCATGTTTCACACATCAGGATCAACTTTATAGAAACATCCAAGTATGTTATTTGTTCACATCTCATGAAAATTATGCAAGATTTCACCAGGAAGAAAACAATTTATCCTTAAGTTTTTAAAAAAGTAAGTTTTTTTCCTTTGTCAAATCTTTCTGTATGGATCTCACATAATAATACCAAATCAGCACCCACAATTATTTTGTAGCATCCACATATATTGTTTCAGCAAACACAAATAGCTTTGGCTATTGGATGGCAAAATGAAATAAACAAACAGCCTTCATTTCTGAAAAACTAATTAAATTGGTGGAAAGAAATTATTAACGCTAGAACCATCAAACATACAAAAAACAAGCCTGGCTGAGCTAAAATCTGCACGGCTTCTCTAAAGGGAACGTTTACCACATCAATTTATTAATAATGGTTCCAACAAACTTGCATGTGTAAGCAATGGAACATTTATATATTTGGAATTTCAAAGGGCTTTTGACAAACTCAATCAACAAAGGCTCTTCAGAAAACTTTGTGATCATGTGATAAATGACCACATTGGATTGCTTACTGGTTAAAAAATAGAAAACAGAGGACAGGCACGTATCAGTAATTTTCCCAAGGGAGATAAATTAAACAGTGATTCTGTACAGTGTTTCGTGCAATTTAGTATTTAGAAAGTATCTGAAGTTGTGTGAAGAAAATTTGCTAAACGTGTAGGCTGCACTAAATTATCTAAGGTGTTGAAATACCAAACAAGCTGTTGAAAGCACCAATAAGACCTCCAAAATCCAAGCAAACAAGCCTCAGAACAGTAGATAAGTGTCCTTGTAAACAGAAACTCTTATTGCTATCAAAAGGTACTGTGTAGCTAATTCGTCTTTCTTCCCTTAATAGGTTTCTTTCTAGTAAGGAGAAAAAAAAAACCCAAAAAAGTAATGGGAGAAACCTGAGAGGCCTACAAGCTAAAGATGTCATCATCTGGATTTTCTATAAAATTCCATGAACAAGACACTGCAATTTCACAATTAAAGCTTAGTAATGAAACAACTTCCTTGTAAGTGCAAAAAAATGCACATCAAAGAAAAACCAAACCCTATACCAGAAATATACTGAAAGAGTCTGAAATGGTTGTTACTATACATAAAAAGATATTAGATTGTATTGAAAAGCTTACTCTGATTCTCCATGGCTAGTAGATTGCAAATAGGCTTTATGCTACATTCTCTCTTGCATTCAGGCATCTAGTTGCTTCCCAATTCTGGCAAACCAGTTTCTCATTACATCTGAACCTGCAAATTGAGGTTTGCAGTTACCCTCCCACTAATTAGCAACTAACTGGTTGCTAAAGTCAGAAAAACTAGTGCTAGCTATTAGGCCCCCAAACTGGTTTTAAATCCTTGTTTAGAAGGGAAGGGCAAACTGCAATTTGCCAGTTGGTATATGTCTTCAAACTATGATTTGCTTGATTGAGGAAGTAACTAATCCAAAAGGGAGGAAGAAGTGTGCTTCCACAAGTCTCACAGGTGGAGTTAGGAGTGTTACATATGAATACTGAGTAAAGTTTTGCTGTCCCATCTCAAAAAAGGCACCATTAGAGCTAGAAGTTCAGGGCAAGTGAATCTCACACTTTAGGGTAGACAAGCCAATGAAATTACCCTCCTAATATTATTATGAAAGCAAGGAATTGCTCCAGGCTTCTTCACTGATGAAACTCACTATCACAGGTTGCAAAAGTGGCTACCAGACTAGGAGGTATCAAAGCAGCACTGCACACAGCAGGGGCCTCACCATTAGGCCAAGCTTGCTGATCATCTTAGGGAACAAATGTTTTGCAGTTCCTATCCTCTTGACAGCAGCAGTGCTTGTTCTTTGCTGGCCAGGATTGCTGAACTCTCAATTAGTCCCCTTGTCCCAGCACTGCACAGACAGCCTCTGACCAAGGAACCCCAGGCAAAGGCAGCAGATCCAAGCGGAGCACCCCAGGAAGTCTTGCAAATACTCCATGCGCTGCTGGACTCACATAACATCTGGTGGTGGTTACAGTAGCAACAAAACTGCAGCTTCTGACTGCCCACTGCACAAGGGGCGGTGAGAAGCTGCCGTCGCTTGTATTGCACTGTGTTGCCCTATGGGGCAGTGGTAGAGGCTGTCCCATCACCAGTGCTTAAGACGTAACTGCCACCAGTCAGGGTGGCTCCTGGGGTCGCCATACTGTGTTTTCACCTCACTCGGCAAGATGGCTTATATTAGGTCGTCCCCGGTGAAGTTGCCAAATGTTTGGTCTATCGGCAACTATTAGCTATGAGAGCTGAAGGGGAGGGAGGAGTTCATGACTAGAGGCAGAATTCTGACCTAATCCAGCAAGGCAAATTTTTACTTTAGGCTACTGTGGCCTAAATCATAGGGGGGAGGGGGGTTAGGGGGATGCGACTCACTTCTGTAATATCCAGCTTTAATTTAGAAAGAAAAGGAGTCTTCTTGGCTAGCCCAGATGCCTCCCGCCCTTTCTCCCCGGCCCGGCACTGACTGCTATGGGGGGTCGCCGCTTCATCTACAGGCTGCCCCTGCGCTTTTCTTTTAACCACACCATTTATTCTCAAATTGAAACATTACTAGGAGGAAATACTGGGCGAAGAGGAGCGGGTGCTGGAAGAGAAAAGCGTGGAACTTGGCTCGAAACACATCTCTTGCTTCCAGGGGTTGGAAAGCAGCTGGTGAAAGGGAAAAAAGCGAACAAAAAGGGGGCAGCCTGAGAGACGCACACTCCACTTCACCCCATCCTACAACCTTGTGCGCGCGTGAAAATGCGATTAAAAAGGGTGCTACAGCTGCTACTTAACGCAACGGTTCTTTTCAGCCAGGAGGACGGCGGCGAGGGGCAGGAAAAGTTTTCAACACACAACATCTTCTCCCTCAGAGCCCATCGCCCCCGCAGCCCCTTCCCTCCCTTCCCTTCGCTCCCGCCATCCCGCTCAGCAGGGGCAGCGGCCACGTCCGTCCCTCTTTCTCTTCTCTGTCTCCCGCAAAAAGTTGCCCCAGCGGCGTCAAGTTTTTGCAAAAGGAGGCAGGGGACAAGGTTGCTCTCGCTCGATGACTTCTCCTTGTTTACCTGTGGTTAAATTGTCACTGATCTTTAGAGGCACCCTCAGGATGTAGACCAGGAAAAGCATGATGAAGAACCACAGGGTCCACAGATAAGTCCACGACCAGACGATGCAAGACTTGAGCTGCTCCAGAAAACCGGCCCCAGCTTCAGCCATTTTTTGAAGAAAGGGGGAGCGAGCGAGCGAGGGACTGGAGGAAGAGCAAAGCCACACGCGAGCGCGCGCTCCAGCCCTGCTGCTCTCTGCTGCCGCAGCCTCGCACACGGTGCATTTCTGGGATGATTCATGTCTCCCGAAGTAACGTGTCCCCTTCCACCTCCGCCCCCTCGCCCGGTTTCTGTGCAGGGCGTCTGTTTAAACCGCCACTTGAGTTGTAAACAAACACAGCTCTGAGGAGGGCTCCTCGTAGCAGCCCCCAGTGCTGTCTCGGGATTTCTCTGTGCGCACACGCACGCACACAGCCGGTGCTCCTATTACTAATAAAACTGCCATTGCCAATTGCAACGCATAAACTTACGAACTGTCTGCAGCAGGGGCAGGAACGGAGTGGAAGAGTCGGCAACGTACGTCTCGCACAAGGCCTTCAAGCTACTCTGAACTTTTTAGGAGCTTTTGACGCTGGCACCTTACCCTAGGGAAACATTCACGAGAATGCGCCAAATCTTGTCTTTGCATATGCTCCAACTACCCTATATTGTCTCTATTTTTTGCCTTGTGGACTGTTTGATTTACTTTCCTCTCCTATCAGCTGTCTTTATTTATTTATTTATTTATTTATTATTTATTTATTAATTAAAACATTTCTATGCTGCCCCATTCGCCGAAGCCTCAGGGCGGCTCACAACATAAAATATAATACATAAAACAAATTATCAATATAAAATAAGTCGCCCTGGCCAGATAAAATAAAATAAAATATAGTAAAAGATACAAGATTTAATTGCAGCTATTCCGTTATGCAACTAGAACTGTTCTAATATTCCAAAAATGGCACACCAATTTAACCAAATCAGGAAATAAATTATAAATAACGGCAACTATTTTATTTTTCTTTCATCTTTCAAGGAATGCAAGATGGCAAAGAGAATTTGCCTGTCTGCTGCTCTTTTATCCCACTCTTTGAGAAACATGGCAGAGCTACAAAAAGATGAACACATACACCTAATAATTCTGGAGATGAGGTAGTATGACGACAGTAGAAAGACTGGCCATAGTCCAACAGTATCGCCACTATGTTACACTTGCTCTACAAATAGGCAGATTGTTTACATGTCTTTTCAAGAAGTGTACACAAACACAACAGGAAGGGAAAACCCTTCAGCAATAGGTACTGGGAGCAGAGGCACTCAGCTACTGTTGCCTAATATCCTTACCTAAGGGACTTGTGGGCTTTCCTGCGCTAGAGGCAGTCAAGATGCAGCTGGACAGCCACTGAGAGGGATGTTTAACTTGGAGCCTACAGTGAGCAGTGGGTTGGACTTGATGACTTCTTGGCCTCTTCCAACTCTGTGATTAAAGCATGCGCCTTTCTGTGCACCTTTGCACTTGCCTATTACACCCTTACACACCTTTTCACATTTTGTTAGTTTGAGCAACTACACTGTTGGACTGCTGCATTCATTCAATGTGTTGATGGGCACATGCTAGACCTGAAGCAGGCAACCTGGAGTGTAACGTGGTATTTTTGGATTCTGCCATCCTTAGCCAGCACAGCCAGGGATTATTGGCACCATGGTATAATCCATCTGGAGACATCAGATGGCCTACCCCATTACACAGATTACACATACCTCTTAGCATGCAATCTGTACACACAATCTGTACAGCCCTGGACATGTGGACAATTGTTAATTCCCATGAAAAGAAGATTGTTCTCACTGGAGCATTTTAGAAAGGGTGCCTTTCGAGGCTATAAACCCAAAAGGAGTTACAAAGAGGTACCTAAGGCACAACATGAAGGTACTCAAAATGCAAACATGCAAGAATTAAATTATGTACACAGAAGGAAAAAGATGTATATAACCAGGTTTCAGTGTGTGTTCCCATGAAAAGGAGTAGTGATACAATGCATGGTTTTCTGTATGTTGCATATGCATGGAAATGTGTCACATGCACATGGTCTCGTTCAGGGTCATTAGGCCACCATACATAATGGGTTCGATGCCTGTGCAAAGCATCATTTGAAAGCTCTAGAGCTGGGAAGTTTAGATCAAAAGCCCCAAACTCACTGTGCACTTTCATGCAGTTCCTCCCTTCCCACTCAGTTCCTCTTTAACTACCACAGTGGCATTTATTTATTTTCTAAACTGTCAAAGTCTCGAGACAGCTTACAAAAATGAGTAGAATAAAACAACCATTTTTCATTTTCACTTGAATCTTTTTTCTGAATAGAACGTGTCTCTTATTTTGATACATTATCTACCAAGTAATGTAATGTATTTAGGGATGCCAAGTGAAAATGCCTTTCAGTAGCAGCACGTGAGCAGTTCTATTTAGAAAGAGACATTTTATTCCACAATAATATATAGTAGGAATACCTAAAACTAAGCTACTGTTCATTTTGTTCCCTTACACATAACTAGATGAACTGGGAAAAGAACCCTATGGTATACTTGCAAAAGAAGCTTGCATGGCAGAAACAGGTCAGAGGGAGGAAGAACTCTACAAGTATCACTACTGCAATATCCTGCCTTCTGTTTCCTAAGTAGTCCAAATGGACTTAACTGTAGCGTGAACATGACCTAGGAAGAAGGAATCAACACACACAACCCTCTGAAGGATGAAGGCTGGCTGGTGTTTGATCAAAGCCTCTGGACAACAAACTGACCTTTATATGATTCCTAAGAGAGCCCAGAAACAGCTGATGAAGCAGAAGTAATTACAGTTGTAGCAGAGATCTGAGTAGCAGTGATTAGATTGCTTCATTTAACCATTATCACACTGATGAGTAACTATTTCCTTTTTGCTATCCTTTCTGTTTAGGCAACCTACTTCACCAAACCTAAGTATAAGGAAGAAACAGGATTCCCTCCATCTACAAAAACTGCAAAACTAAGG